AGTCGGTTACACAGAAAGACATCATGACAATGAAAGAGCCATATTGCTCCTGTACCATCATGTACGTTTCACCTTCATGCTAGATAAATGAGTTCCCGGCCCACGCGAGGAAAAGGCGGCCAACGATTACGTGCAAAGCCGGGGCAAGGCAATGGTTGTTCGGCTGCTGTGCTAGGTACTGAAACCCGTGTTGTTATTGCAAAACAGCGCCATCCGTTCAATCAATAAACTAATCTCAGCACACAGCAAGGATTAAGAACAAGGATTGTAGAATAATTAGAACGAAAACAATGGATTATGACATGTTAAGATATAACGTTACTCACGTTTTTCAGTGGCAATGAATTCATCCTTTCCGGACAGAACAGGGCGGAGACGGGGTGTTCGCCAGCGCGCAGATGCGGGACTCGGCGCTCCTCTCCCGTGCATGCAAATCAACTACGTGGTGATAAAAATATTCATTGATGGGACAAGAAAGGGCCAAAAATAGAACAAGCCTCGAGCACTTTTGCTCGAAGCGCTGTTGGGCTTCCCACTTACCTGTCGATTTAGGCCGAGGAAAATTGAGATGACAGGCAACAAAGATGGCGGCCGGGGAAAATTAGAGAGCGCTGCTTTCTGTGTACACTGGGTGAATATTTAAAGGGAAACTGTTGGTATTACCGCATAGCAGGACTTGTAAAAACTGTTATGCCAGTCTTAAAATACACCATTTATCGACCTTTCATGTGTAACCGTCATCGTTGAAAGCATTTGACATAGGCATTGGACAAGGTTCACAGTGAAAACATTAATTCAAAAGAATATTCACAAGCGTACAAACATGTATATTACCATCGCGTTACTCTTTCTGAATGACAGAATACGAAGGATTGCTCTTTCATTGACAAAGACTGGAGTACAGTCGAAAATTTGGGTGAGTCCAATTTTTTTGTTGTTGGCCATGACAGTTCAAACTTGTTTCATAAAGAATACGAAGGTATTGACGGTTGACCCCCAATGACGTCATGAAACGTCTATCGGTCCCGTTAAAGGGCATGGGCGGTGAACCCATGAGAATTGCTGTAGAACTGCACAATGTGCATGTCCCTGATTCGGGCAAAGTGACTAAATAATGCCCTGTAAAACAACTTCCTAGCCATTAGTTACATGGGAACTGTCATATACAAATTATTCTGTTAATGTATAACCCCCCCCCCGTAAGACAAGGAAAAGAAAGAACTAACTAGAAAGGTAATGCATAATGTTTACCTTCTCATATGGTCTGCTCTGTTAATTCTTACTCAAACACATTCACATATTTGGTGGCAGGAGTCTAAATCCCCCCTACTATAAAATGCAACATTATGTAACCCAACACCAGTTACCATGGTGAGAGACTGTCTGGTTCAGATTATTGACCAGGTCTGCTTGAAGTCACTGTTTGGAGAAGAAGAGGAAACCGAGCAAAATGATATGTTTTCCTTCTGTAAACATAATTACAGACAAACACACATACTAAAATTGAAAGAACCGTTTTGGCACACACATGCTTCGTGTGGCAGGAATTTGGGGCGCGGTGAAGGTAGATCTTTGGATTAATGATTAACAACCCTGCGGCTAATAGCAGACTTATTGATTTTAGCTATGCATTATTTATCTGGGATTTGCTCAGGACTTTGGTTAAAACGTATGACCATACATCATCATATAAGTCAATTTGGTGACTAAAATCAAACCATTCTTTATTAAAACTCTATTTCCATAGTGTTGGTTTTCAACGACGATGGATTTGCAAACTGTAGTTTTTAATAAGTGACTACACAAACAACACATTGCATCAAAATTGCTATGAAGCTTTTTATTTATTCCTCCCGGCAAGATAGGTGGACATGGTTACAGGTACAATTGGTGCAAATCAGTGTCACACAAAATCACCAACCACACTGCAACGCAGATACCTGATAGCCCACCTCATTGTAGCAATGTGCTTGCTATCTCATATTGCATAGGGAAAATACAGAAACAAACATTCATGACAAAGTATTTGTTTGACATGAGCTGCAACTACAGTTGATGTGTACAATTTGGTCCTTGGGATATTTAGCACCTCTAAATGTTATTGTGATTCCTGTGGATGATGTTAAAAATACATGTACATTCATTTTGACACTAATATGTTAACAGTAAAGGACATTCATTCTGCTGGTCACTCACCTAAAACATTAATTTCTCACTGTTTTGTAATTCTATCTGCAAATGTTTTTTTTTTACCTTTGTACATTTGAGTATCAAAGTTGCAAACTTCTGTGCATTAAGACTGACATGCCTGAGTGAATCGAAATGTGTCAATTTGATGTGACTGATTCACTAATTTTACTTGTCAACACTGCATTCATTTTGCAATTCCATCTCTTATTACACATTGAGGGTAAGACTAGTACATTTTCCTGACTTCTCTGCATTGCAGAGAAAGATCAGTACAGTTTGTTACTAGCATTGAGAATTTCAGCTACAACATCCAGTAAAGTTGCACTTGTGATTTTCATTCCTCCTCACTACATTACTTTACATGAGTACACGAATACAAAATACAGCCATAACAACATAAGCAGGTACAAACACTGCTAGACAATATCACTCTCTAATTTTGCATTGCCACCACATTTACTCTAGCATTGCATGTTGTACATATTAGTTCTGTCCCATTTGGGTAACTCTTTAAGTTGCTCTGAATCTGCTAGCCAAATTGTCTGCTACATTTCCTACTGCCTACTCTCTTAGGGCAACCAGAGTTACCAATTAGTGATGACTACTTTGCAATATTAGGAGCCAGAGGGGCTGTTATAATGGGAAGACAACTCTAATTCTGGACAGAGCTGGAAACTATCAATCATTCTGCAGTCTGTTTATTTCAACAGGGAGTAATGCAACAAATCATTTTAAAATTCCATGCAAATTCGCTGGCATATAATATTGCACAGAGATCTCTCGACATTGGCCAATGAATTTTTCGCTTTATCTTCTATCCCAACCATCTATGTTGTAAAAAATTTTGTATAAACGTCCACAACTGATATTCTTCCACATACTTTCCTGTGTAGGTCCATCAACTACCAAGTAGAATTCTATAAAATGATGAATTTAGCTTAATATTCCCATTTAAACATGCATGGACAAGCCCTGGCTATGTCCCTACTCATGACCTATTGGTCAAGGTGAATTTCAAGGGCAAACATAAAATCAAGTAAGTCTTGCGACGTCATGCTCATGTATAAATAAAGCATACTGGTAATTAAACCTGGCTGGTTTCCATATACTACATTACAGTAACACAATCAATTTCTTCACATTCCCTGAACATATGGAGGTATGTGTGATTGCCTTTAACTTAATGCACACAAAGGCAATATGGGCAAAATAATAACCAGTAGCCTGGATACCATCCAAGTTAGTTATAGTCCTATAGTTACTATTTAAGCAGATGTAAACTAAACAAGTTGGTACCCTAACCCTGGTTAAAAACTACTAAAATAATTTACATTTTTCCATATTACACAAATTACATTTATAGCCAGACTTGGATTCTGATAAGTAATATCAGTATGTGTAATATCAGTATGTGCTTGTGACACAATAGACGAGTTGTCATTTGCAATGCTGAGACACTGAACAACTCCTTATTTCTGAGGAATAACTGCATACACAAAGACTACATGTACATATATCAATAAACTAAGTGTATGCAAAAGATAAAACAAAATGAGTTAAAACCAAAACTGGTACATGTTTTACGAATCAATTAGTATTACAGTAAATGATAAGTAACTGCATTGCTTATGATGGAAAGCGATTTTCTACCATTCTAATTTTGTCTCCAGGCTCCCATATGCCTAATGGAAGCAGCTCACACTAATTCTACTGTACACATTGTGTCAGTGATAATGGTAACAGGCTACAAAAAGATCAATATCCAAGCAACTTGAAGTGGAAGCATTACAAAGATTTCTCAGTAGTCCAGATCAGGAGATGATAAATATCGAATGACACCAAAAGGTCCTCTTATCTATATCATAATAAGTGTAGATAAACTACAAAATTACAAATAACTTGTCATTTACCAACCACCCAGTCTCTTACATGATTTTTCATTGATAATCTCCATTGAAGGGGAGGGGATCAATACAGCTGTAAAATTCACCAGTATATGTCTTTCTTCAGATCATCATAACAACATCAATTTGTCTTCAGAGCAAACCACCCCACCCCATCCCTCATAAAAACTGCCACTTGTCAAAATATCATGACATACTGGTTTCATTCAGCATACTGATTTCATCATTGTAGCATAAGCTGTACTACCCTGCCATAGAATTCTAGTCTTCACAATTTGTAAAAATTATTGCAGATAAAAACAAATTAAAATCCAAGATGTTTGCTTCCATGTGATATGTATGCTAGACTGTCATTGGTCACACGTATTGCCATGGTGACTGACAAGTATTGCTGACGGCATGGTGGAGACTAAACAAATTTGATATTTCTTGATTTTGTAAGTAACTAATGAAGCAGGCAGGCATAAAACAGACACTGAGGTAGACAACCTACCTTTGATGATGACCAGTACTATAAATCATAATAGTTATACAGGTGCTCTGAAGCCTATATTCCAAATACAAACATTTGAAATGAAAACCACTTATTATTTTCAGAGAGACACAGATCATCTAAATCTGCCAAAAATTTAAGCTGCAACCAAGAAAATCAAATTGGTGAGACCTAATGGGAAATAATAATACTAATAAGTAAGACAGAGGTCATTCATATCAGGCTTCACATATCCTGCTAAATTCTAGCCAGATACGTATGTTGAGTCTGGTATGAACGCAAAATGTCCTACTAAACAAGATTTTAGCTTGTGAGGAGGATTTGGTGGACCTGGCTTAAAGTACAAATGTTTAGCAGGATATTTTGCATTCATATTGTTGCGCAATAAAGATTGATAATAACTAAATATATCCAGCTAAAACCCCACTGAAGAATTTTGCAGGCTATGTGAAGCCTGGCATGAACGTTACTGGGTCCAACACAAAGAGGTGAACAGAATCAAGGTAACTCATGGAAGTCAAATTTGGTGTACAGCTCCTCCGTCTGCTCGTACACGGGAAGGACCGTGGCGGCGAGTTCGGAGACCAGCCCCAGCACCACGTCCTCTTCCTCCTTACACAACTTCTCCAGGAAGTTCTTCCTGGTGGGCAGCGTGTAGAACGCCATCCCCGCCGCCTTCCGCACGATCCACACGTGGTAGTTCGCCAGCGTCTCGTGGTAGCACTCGTACGCCAGAGTGGAGACCTTGGCGTCCGACGTGCTCTTCCCCATCCTGTTCAGGAACTCCATGATGAACTTGAGGGCGCGGTGGAGGCGTAAGAGCGTCCTCGCGCCGGACGGTTTCTTGTTGTCCAGGACGATCCCCGTGTCCTTCTCGTATTGCAGCATGGACTCGATGGTGGCGTAGTGTTCGCCCTGCTCGGACGCCCGGTAAGCTTCCAGAATCTCGATCTTCGATTTCGCATCCGAAGTAACGAAAGAGAAAACTGTGCCGAGCATCTCCAAGAGCCTATAAAAGAGAGTGCTTTATTCAGTTAAAAAAAAACTTCAATTTCAAAAGTAATACGGGTTTTGCCTGACTACTTGGTATGTTGTGCAAAACTAGGCCTGCCCGCCTTAGACCAAGGCCTCCCCCCCCTAAAGTGCCCTATCATGGGCTATATGCGGGTGTAGCCGGGGCTCACATAACATCTTTGAGCCCCTGCAAAGATGAAGAACTAAACACCTTCCACGGTCAAATTCTACTTGTGCTGCAATAAAACATCATTGGTAAATCATGATGTTGTGGCAAATTTTGTGGCATTTCAATAGTCTGAAAGCAATCTATGACCGTTTGTGCTAGCTAGAAAAATTATGACTCATACATAGAAACAAGTCCCATGGGGAGGGGGGCGACAAAACGCCGGCTCCGACTCACGCTACCTCAGGTTACACCTGTAGCGGAGTCTATCCCCCAAGTACCCCGGTAAAAATCATGCTTCAGAGACTCACTTCGTAATATCTCTATAGGCTGCATTGTACTTAGTCAGATCAAGCTCTCCGTCCTCCTTCTTGATTAGTTTCAAGGATTCTGTGACGAGCGGAAGAGAAAACTTTCCATCGCCTGGTGCCGAAGAATCTGCCATGTTGGCTGCTCTCTTCCGGGTGCCGGTAAAAAGTATCCTGAATGGCCATTGGCTAAAAATTTTGACCATCCACCAATCAGATTAAGTCTAACATATAAAGCTAGAAATTTTACCTTTGACCTAAAATAGAACAGCCCACTAAGTTTAGGTAGATTTGGATTCTATACTTAAGTTTATATCCTTATTCAAAAGAAAAATGAATCAATTCGATACTAAACAATTAATGCTCAACTATAACTTTGTAATACTATCATAATATACTTGTAACTGTGCTTTTTGCCGGATTTTTGGGAAAATAATTGACTAGTAAACACCCCTGCATTTGTAATAGTCTGTTCCCACGTCTTCCTAGTTTTGATGGATGCATGTGGTTTGAGTTTCAGGAGTCCGTCACAAAACGTTTTTTTAGACGATAACTGTTGCTGATCATTAGCCACACATCCCTGAGAACACCGAGACCCCATACAGACAAGCATGCCGGAGATTAAAGCAGTTCCTTTGGGTGAGTGATTGGGTATTATAACGACGCCTTAGCTTGCAAACAACATAAGTTAGCATAGATTTTTATGATCATAACAAAAGAGATGTTGCAAAAGAGAAGAAGAAGAAGAAGAAGAGATGTTGCAATCAACTGATAATGAATATACTAGTATTCATGTAAAATAGTTTCAGTCCCCATTAGTATTATGTAACACACTGTACTTCATAATAATCATAAATTATGATGATATAAACATAACACTGTTTATATATAATATTGTTGTGAGCTTCAGATTGGTTTGCATCAGCTGATAGTGATACTCATTAAAAACTAAGCCTTTATAAGTTAATGGGAGCAGTTCATGTATTAATATGTAAATGTTTGAGCTTATTTTGATGCATTAAATGCGTCAACACACTTGCACGCACATGCACACACACAGACACACACACACAGACACACGCCTTATTGTCCAGTCTTATGCAGCTTGTACTTACATGTACAAAACTGGTGTGTTACGCCTAAAAAGGCGGTTTACCGGTTATGCAAAACAAACAAACAAACAAACAAACAAACACACACACACACAGTATCCTCTACAGGATAAAACACTTACTTCATGAGTTCGGACTGGGAATTTGCATATTTCGTTGTGTCAATTTCCCCACCCTTTGTCATCACGCTCTTAAAGCTGTTGACCAGGCGAGACAAGGAGAACTGTTTAGGGTTGTCCTGAAGGCAGCTCGGCTGGTCTTCCTCATCTTTGTGTCTGGTGCCATGTTGGGAGTCATTCTGGAATGATATTGAAAACTGAAGCTGTTTGATTCTTAATTTTAATGCAACGCGTTATGCTGGAATATTGTGTGAACTTGTGGCATAGCCTAGGTGCTGTCCTAGTTGCAAGGGTGGCCCACAGAGTATATTTATTCACCTGAATATTCACCTGAATCCAGGCCATTAGGTACCCTTACTGGTTAATGAGGCCGTCTTCGTGGTGTAGACAGTTTGGGCATTCAGTAGGAGAAGACGTATTCAGGACAGTCAGTACATGTGTCAGTACAGTAGTCAGGACATGTGTAGAGTAAGTTGATAGTTAGTTACTAAGTTAGTTAATTGTAGTTTATTGGCATCTCTGTGCCAAGATCAAGATTGGATTTGTGTCACATAGTGATGACCTTAGATTAGAATTGCAACTAAAGTACATTTTTTTAATGTAGCATGATCATGAATGTGGATATTGATTGCAAATACATGTTCATGTAACGTTACCTAAAATCTATGACAAATAGAAATACATTGGTGTGTGTTATCTGCAAGTAATGGTGAATGGTTAATCAATTAGGAATTATTCCTCAGCTAATTTTGCCAGTTTTGCAAATAGGTTTATGATAGTCATTTCAACAGAAGTTGATTCATAATTGCAGAATGTGTGATTATAGATCATGGTGAGATTTCAATCAAATTGGTCATGAAAATGTTCTCAAATTGTTTTTTGAATAAGACCTCACCTCAAACCCATTCCAAATAAAAGGATGGTCAAATTCGTCCCCATTTAGGATTCTCTCCACTTGTTCTAACCAAGCCTTCTCCTTGTCAGTTGCTACCTGTCCCTCCCTACCATCCTCACTGATGGTATCACCCAGTGGCAGACTGTACACATCAAAATCTGGAAACCCTTCACCGTATTTGTGGTTAGTAAAGTGTTGTGGAAATGAGTTTTGTTTGCCCCCTTTAACCTTGACTTTGAGTTCAGGTAGTTGCTCCTTGTGTTCCGACTTGTGCCATCCTGCTTCGACTTTGATGGATCCTACGTCCCCTCCCTGCATAATGGCACGTCCCTCTATGTCGTAATGTTTGTCGTTGATATAAACATTGCCTCCCAGACGGTGGATGGTGCCAACTGTTGCTTGGAGCACGTTCCATCTTCCTGTAGTCAATAAGATATCCAAAGCCACAATTATCCTGCCAGTCTGATCTAATATTGGAAACACACTGCTATTACAGATAATGTAGTAGTAATTTTATCTTTGACAAGGTCTTGTATGAGAGTACTTGAGCAGACTGAGTTATTTGATGCCTATCATGTCTGTTCAAGTATAGCCTGTGTACCATCCTATTTAGTTCGCCTGCGTTTGCATTTGAGGGGTTAAAGATATTTCAGGGAGCACAGTATGGAAACCAGGGCAAACTGGATAGAAATTATGACGCCCAGGCTATAGTTCAGGCAAGGACCTTGGTTCAGGCATGGAGGTACCTCCATGGTTCAGGTAAGCAGAATGTAAACATGTCCTGGTGTGTAGGTCATTGTCCTCTCTCTTTAGACTAGCTGTGTTGTTTTTCTTTAACCTCCTTGGTTGTATTTTGCACAGGTCAGGAAAGCAATGTATTATCAGTTAGTTACTGGTGAGAAACCCCACAGCTAGTCTATTGTCATGAGTAAATCCATATGTAGATTAACTCTAATTCTCCAAAGTGTCTGTGCCAGTCCTAATACACTTGCCTTGCTTAGCCCTAATACACATCCTCAAAGTCAGATCAAATGACCGTGAACCATTAGGAAACACAAAGGTGAAAAGGGTCTTGCTCTGCTCTTCAAATCACAATACAATACAATACCTATTGTTCTGCTTGGGAGCGGCAGCCTACTAGTACATGATCTGTTGGGGAGACTGTGGTCAATGGGTGCTGCATTGAAACATATGGAAAAACAGGCATAAAAATGGGCATCATATCTCACCTTTACGAAGTTTTAGTGACACAAACTCACCTTCATATGTTAGCCCATTTATTAAAATGGACCTACAAGAAGTTTCGGGAAAAAGTGGACGGCGAGAATCGAACTACAGCTGTTCTACCAAACACAGGCGCACTTTGACCCCATATTCCAGGTTGATTCCAAAGTGGTGAGCAGGAGGGGTGTGTGCCAACAGAAAAGCCAATAACAAGGCAACTTTATGGAAAACCTCCATTTTTTTTGCAAAAACATTCACTCAAAACCCTACTTTGTACAATCCACCACAAAAATGCCAAGGATTCAACAAAATTTCCACCAAAAAAACGGTTTTAAAGTTATTTAGCTCATTTTAATTTTGAGGTCTCTCACCCAGCAACTTGTGCGCATGCCCTTCAACCAGCGTCACCCCTGTTAGCTGAGGTTTTCCAGCTTGTTTACAACTGACTGCCACATTCCCAAGTGACTTGGCAGGAATCCAGACAACATGAAAAGCCAGCTGGCCTCTTCACAATTTTGGGAAGGGTCATGCTGTATTGTTTACAAAACACTGTGAGTCGTCTACAAGAGTCACTAGAAACTTTTTGTGTTCCAAGAGAAATAGACTATACAAAGGAAGAAGTTTCTTACCTGTTCTGTGAGAAGGTGTTCCAGAATCTAGTCTGAACCACAGGACAAGCAAACACAAGGCTACAGCAATTAAAATCACCATCTTCAGTCTCTTCTTCATCTTGAATCTCCAATCTAAACTATCCCATTCAAATGACTATGGTTACTATGTCATGATTCCTTTAGTTGTAATAGCTGCATGTCTACTGGAACAGTCCAGCATGGTTGATACTGGGGTAAAGAAGGGTCAAATCTGCAACCTTTGACCCCACTTAGGTCACTGGGAGGAATTAGTTACACTTTGTTTGTCTGTAGTCCAGTAGGTGCTAGCAATGTGCTGCTAATAAGTAGGAATATTTTACTGAAATAAGAAATCCATTTGAAATAACCATGATGAGTATAATACAGTTACAGTTTTTAGGGTAAGCTCAAGTGCTATGAACATAAATGTGTGAAAGATATTGATTGATAGCTGGCCAGAATGTTTGTCCTTTATTAGACATAATAGAAAGTACAACAATGCTATAACCTCAATGCTCTGTTCTGCTACAGTTTTAATGTAAGGCCATGTTGATTTGATTATATGGATGACATCCTCGCGCGCATGAATTTTCGGCCGTTTCCAAAAAAAAAAAAGTTTTCAACCATACTGTAAATCGTACAAAACAGTTGCAAAATGAGCAGAAATATACCATAAGTTACAAAAAATTAATAAAAACTATACCAATGTCGTAGAATGCCAAAATCAAACGAAAAAAGACGAAATTGTAAAAAAATGAACTTGAAGACTAGATTATTCGCCAAACCATATTCTGTGCCATTTGCTCAATCCTCATGACCACGTAGATTTCATAATGAAAAGAACTTTTTTTTTTGCAAAATTTTTTTTTTATTCGCACGCGCGCATCAGTTTTGGGGCTCCCGGAGGATGTCATCCATATAATCAAATCAACATGGCCTAAGTGTTAAGAATGATAAATATGCATATGGCAAATCAGCTACATGTATGTGCAACATGTTTATTAAACAAACTATGAGGACAACAATTCCTTATAAAGCAAAATTTTCAGAATTTTCATAATCAGGCAGTAAGAAAACTCACCCTAATCCTGATTATTATTAAATACTAGGCTGTACGAGGCTATATAACATCTCAAATTCTTTATCTTGAGGTCTGTCCTTCATAAATGGTATTGCTCAGTATCCACAATGGTCATTAAAATACTACAATTGGAATAATAACTATATTTGCTATATCATCAGTTGCCATATCAATTGCATTGTTAGATAAGCTTGGAATGTTATTGCAGCTATTGCATCTTACCGTAATACAACCTATATATGTTTTCTTGCATTGCAGTTGCATGAGGTTCAATGGTACAATCGTTGTTGAAATCTCTAGATATTTAATCTGCTAGATCTAATATTAGAATAACACTATTTCATATGCAACTCAAGTACTTGAGAAGTAGTTGTTTTATGGCTTTTTTTTTGTATCATATAAAGTAATATCTGCATGGGAAAATGAACACATTACAGTGATATTTTTCTCCTAGAGAGTCGTACAAAAAAGGTAAAAAAAAAACTAATCAAAATGATTGTCACAGAAGTTTTTATCAGTTTATCACTGGCAACAATTAAGTTTTCTGCAGCATTATTCTTCTAAGGCAAGTCTAGGTAGTTGTATTTCTCATAAATGTACTGAGTCCTGTCATAAACAGGTTTCGTGACTTCAGCCAACTCGTTCAATATTTTGAACGTTGTTTCCTCGTCGGTATCACACAGCAAACCCATGAATGTATCCCTGCTCGGCAAGAGATAGAACGCCGCCTGTACCGCCTTCCGTAGGAACCAACCGTGGAACTGAGACACGGTGGAGGCGTAGGTATCCGACGCGATCTTCACGATACTGTCGCCAGGTTTACTGTTCTTGAGTCCCTCGCAGAGGGCCAGACTAAAGTTGAGACCTCGATGTAAACGGAGAAAGTTCCTGGTCCCCGACTCTTCGTACACTTTGACGTTGACGATGTGATTGTCCGTTTCAAACTTGACCATCGAGGACAAGGTCTTGTAGTCCTCACCGTCAGGTCCTTCCAGGTAGCCCGTAAGGTAGTTTATTTTGTTCTGTGCTTCTGAAGTGACGAAGGTGAACAGTGTTCCCATCATGGTGAAAAACCTGAGGGAAAATTGTAACAAGATGAGCATTGAATGAAAAAGATCTTGAGTTTTTACTGTCAGCAGAGTAGGAGGCATGTCAGTTTAGATAATTTACAAATTTTACACACATCCTAGAAGTTTGAAAATAGCACCCAACCTACGTACTCTCCAGTTAGAAGCTCTCAGGAAGGTGTCTGATAGACAACAAATTGTCAGCACCTATTTGAGAAATTTTGGTTGTGTAAAAGAAAACTGCTGTATCCAGCACCCAACTTACTTCAGGAGCTCCTTGTTGGTATTGACGTACATGGCCATGTCTATTTCTCCATCTTTGTTCAGGACTTTCTTGAAACTCTCCACCAAACGAGACAAGGAGAAGTGTTCTGGCTTATTCTTAAAGCAGCCTCCTGGGGAGTCATCATCATCATCATCAGTAGCATTGGTGTCTTGTTGTTGAGTCTTCTGTTGTGAATCATTCTGTGATAAAACAACATAGAGGCTTAGTTTATGATTAATATTGATTGAAATTTTGTCAAAAGTGTTGACGTATATACAGTCTTCTGATTCATGGCATCATGCTTTGAATTAGTAAAGGCCTTTAAGACATGCATTATAATTGGGATGAGGAATTAAACTTAGGCATCAGATTTCAGGTTATAGAGTTAGTGGCTACATCACGTCAAAAGGTCAAGGTAGTGAGGGCTCATTTCAGACAGGGAAAATGTAAGGGTACAGTGTACTAGTATTTCTGATTTACTAATTTATGCATCCTAAATCAGAATTTTTACATCATTGTATCAAGGAATCACCCAGGTACCCAACCAAATGATTTAAGGGTTGTTTGAAAGTGTATTGAATCATTCGTCAAGCAACATTGACAGGTACATAGTGCCTTGTCTTTGATTTTATCTCTGTATGTAGATTTGATCACCTTAGAAATCCTAAAATGTAATTATTCCTTTTTTATTCAAATCATCCACACATGATTGAATAGCGCTTAAAAAAATTTAAATGTGTCAATCAATCAAAGATTTTTTCTTAGTATGGATGATGAATTATGTTTGACAAAACAATAATGAGGCATTACCTCTGAACCTGTCCAAACATATTTTCCATTTCTAAAAGGATAGTTGTCAATATCATCCCCGTTTAAAATTCTCTCCACTTGTTCCAGCCAGGCTTTTTCCTCATCAGTAGGTTCCTGCCCCTCCCCATCATCACCAATGGTATCACCCTGTGGCAGACCAGACCCTTCTGAAACCTCTCCCCCCTTCCTGTGGTTAGTAAGGTGGTGCAGAAATGAGTTTTGTTTGTCCCCTTTAACCTTGACTTTAAGATCGGCGGTCACAAGGCCATGGCTTGGGGGCGTCTTTTCGTGTGGTTTGTGCCATCCCGCTTCGACTTTGATGGAGCCTCCGTCCCCTCCCTGCAGAATGGCGCGCCCCTCTATGTCGTACTGTTGGTTGTTGATGTGAACTTTCCCCTTCCCTCCCCAGCTGTGGATCGTCTCGTCTGTTTCATGCAGCCCAGTCCATTCTCCTGATAAGTAATATTGTGGCAAGGAAAATGGAAAATTAGTTCTAAATGTGAAATCAGTGCAAATTCAAATGGGAAAGGAAAATACCTGTGGCACTGAACATGTTTTATTGATTGACTGTATTGTGTGATCCATGAGCATTTATATTGGATAAAACATTTACCACAATAGTCACTGATACCACTGTACTCTAACTCTAAGTCTAACAGTAGCAGTTGATGGTAATGCCCTCTAGTGACCAACAGAAGTACTGCAGAAGTTACTGTCTACAACACTTTCTTGCTCATATTGTACATGTACAAGATAAAGTTCAGTCTTAACACCACACATTATCAGATTATGTGGACAAAAGTTAACACTGGAGAAAAACCTAGACATGGTTGTTTGTCTTGACCAATAGATTGGGCATTGAATCATCTGACAAGATGTTGGCATTACACTTTTACAGAGACACTAAACAAACCTGCCCTACTTTGTACTTGTAGAATTTTGACATATGAAAACCACAATCTAAATTTGTTTTCTGTTGCTATGTAATGGCTCAGGGCCTCTGCCAGACAAGAAAGAACAGAGAACGTGTAAGACTTTTGTTACATTCTATGGTTTTTGTTTGCAATCTGAAGATGTTGGATCCGAGAGGATTACTAGAGTACTCAGCACAGACTAGTAGATCAGGTGCCTCTGAATTATTCATGTAACAAACAAAGGAAACAGACACAGGTTGTCCTAATGCACCTCCTTGTTTATCCTCAGCTGACATTTTGCCTGGGGGAAAATTGACCTCGATACAATCTGCCTCCTAGTAACAACTTGTTTGCAAAACAGCAATTTTGAAGACTGGAAGCGTGGACTTTACTGTATTTATTTTTTTGTCAGAAGATTTTAGTCTTTTTTGTCTCCATCAACATCGTAACATATCGATGATATGTTACCTTTTGCATATTTCACAACACCAAAACTTACTTCAGTTTTCCACAATCATTGACAATGTTCTATTAAACAATTGCAAGCTCATAGATCTAGAAGGTTCTTATCTGCTTAGATTGTGATAAAACCTTGCAGACTTGGCAAAACAGGACTCTACTTGAAGAGGTTTAAATTTTAAACCCCCTGCCCTGCTCTAATCTTACCTACAAACACAGTTTTAAGTCGAAATCAGTGAGACTTTTTGTCAAGAACAAGTTCACTTTTCAGTTTACAATTGATGGTGTTTTGCAGAAATTTTACCCTGCTAGATAAGAGGGGTTAAAATCCAACCAGTTCAAGGCGGGTGAAGGTTAAAAGGTCAATTATTATTTGTGGAGCCACAAGGCCCTATTAGTACATGTACATACATGTCCTTGATTGGAATGATTTATGTGACCAGCTGGGGACACATGTTTTTTTTTTACAAAACAATTCAGACAGATAAACACTCACTTATTTGCATATCATATTTCTTGCTTATAAACCTGCATTTCTGCACAAGTTCTCTTGTGTCACTGACGAAAGATAGAAGGTGCTACCTAAAACGTCTGACCGTTTCCAAAATCATATCCAGTTGCTTGAGTAAATGTGTTTTGGCATATCTTATTACCTGGATGTCTAACCTTCACTGAACTAACAGAAAAACAGTTTCAAGAATAGACAGTCACTCTACAATTATGCTGATTGAAAGAAAAAGACAATGGATAAATTTAAAACAAGTTGATTGCATTGTATTGATATACAAATAAAGGTCCTTTGGGAGGGCTAAAAATTAAAATACCCTGCAAAAAAACAAGGTCGTGTCCCATTGTGTTGTGGCCTCCATGTTTTTGTTTTGCACCCAGAAAGAGGAAGTCTTACTGACGAGTCAGCAACAAAAGTCAGGCTTGTTTACAGCTGAGTGTGACATTCCAGACTGGCTTTCTTGGCATGGTTACAGACAACTTCAGATCATGAATGTCTCTCCACCATTCTGTAGGGTCGGATTGCTCTGCTGTTTACTCTGGCCAGTCCAAAAGGGACAGGTCATTTGAAAAACAAGAAGATTACCAAGTTTCTTACCTCTCTTCTGGGATGACAGCCTCCCAGAATACAGCCCAAGCAGCAAGAAAGTCAAACACAGGCAAACAGTGATTGAAATCACAATCTTGGAGGATCCCTTATTCATCTTTGATAGTTTGGTCTTGGCTGGAACAAGTCTAAACTACTGCTGTCTTCTGTTTGAATCACTATCTCATGGTGGACTCCTTTGTCCGAGGAAGGAGGTTTAAATGCTGATGCTGCAATGATAATAGTGGGTGAATGTCCAAAAGTTCAACCCTTGACCCCAATTCGGACCATACCATTACAGTTGCTGAGGGGATGTCAGTACCATATCCTTGGATACATGGCACTGTATACTGTATCTGATGCCAGATTGTTAAGGATTTTCTTAGATAAAAAGTATGTTGAGTTGAGAAGTATCTCATTCATAAAATATGGTGATTAACTTCTTCAGATGTTTATGAATTAGCTAATCATTTGCTTTGTGTCCTCATTTAGGTTAAGAGTAAATATGGACATTGTGCAGACATTATGTTAAAGTTCTTTGCTCCTTTTTATATTGACCCCTTTAAGTGAAATGGTCAAGTCTACCTTTGAACAAACAAGTTCACCGATCAATAAAGTACACTCTGGCCTCCCCATTAAACAAATTTCAAAGTCACCTTAAAATGATCTTTGGGTTTGGCTCTGTGACCCATAAAATGCAGTTTTAGTCTTGCCAACTGGTTTATGTTTGTTCAATTAAGAATGATGATGCAAGGGTACCACAAAATGATGATGCAAGGCTACCACTACTATGGGTCATAACATGTTCATCTCAAATGATCAAAGTACTAGCAGTAGTACATTGTGTAATAATGTACTTGTGTTTCTGCTGTGACTTTTGATAAAACTTTTGCACATTAAGATTTGATGAAACCAGCTATTAATAAAAGCCAGAAAATCAGTACTGGTTTAATTTTTCTGTCACATGATGAAATTGGGAAGCCATGAAAAATTACAGCAGTGACAAAAATAATTTAATTGTATGGGGAATCAATTTAACATAAAATACATAAAAAGGAAGTAAGTAACTGTAATTCACCGGCAGTGTATGTCCTAATGCTATACATGTGTGGCGTTTTAGTATATAGAAGCATCAATGTATACAGCCTGCTCTTCCCTAGAACATTCAAGTGATGGTAGCAAAAATTCAAATTCGGAAAGTCTGACTGTGATAACAAATAATCTCACGAGTCACGACTGTTGCATTCACAAGGAGATTACTAACTAGTACATCCCGAAATTGTCACAAGTATGTTCACATTATTTAAATGTCTGATGTTGATAATTTTGTTTCTTCTTTTTCATGTGGTGGCCAACAGGTGCAGGACAAGGTATGTCTACGAATCTTACCTTCATCATACTTAAGATAATATATTGTACTGGTCATCCTTTTGAAGCACTTAAATGGTGTGAAATACATTAATACATTAATATGAAAACAGTACTAGTAATATGTTTTAAGTATATGATTCATATGAATTTGAGTATCTCTGAGATTGTGAGAAGAATTCTGTGAAATGTTATGTACTGTGAGTTTCACATTGTTAACTTTTTTTACTGTTTAATTAACAACATAACATCAAGATCTATGTTGTAAGTTAACTTGAATGGACAACAAGACACTGATATCAGCAACCTCTATGTATTTTCAGATGTTGGGAGAAGTTGCATCCTGGTCAGTATTGGTGGCAAAAATATTATGCTGGACTGTGGCATGCACATGGGGTACAACGATGAGGTAATTTATACTTTCTGTCTCTTTCCCTGATGCATGTATCTGTATCTGTATAGCCGGTATAACACACCAGCTTCGCAGGCACGCGGCACGGTGGCAGCTGGCTCGTTGGCAACTGTCTTCCTCCAAAGACAATGGTACTGCACCATGGTCCAATCTGTATCTGTGTATTTGTTACAGCTTCTGCTGTGAGTGTGACTGTGTCATCCAATTTCAGACAGACAAATTCTGTTACAGTTTTTACCCTTGAATACCCATCATTGCCTTGGTGTGTGCACATGAAACATTGATGTCATGTTGAAGTGTGGAGACAGTGACCTTCAAATCTGGTTCCTCCCTTACAGAGGCGGTTCCCAGACTTTACCTACATCACCCAGTCTGGGACTCTCAACGACCACCTGGACTGTGTCATCATCAGGTACATGGACTTGTTTAGCAGATGGGATCATATGAGCAATTGCTGTTTTTGTATAAATTGTACACATACAAATTAGTTGAAGACATATGCAAATTATTGGCATGCAAATCAACCAATCGTCACCTGCTTTTTGCCTACCACTCGCTGCCTGTGACATCATACATATGGCAATCACTTGTATTTCCAGTTGAAGTTCTAAACTGTCTGTTCATTTGTTCATAACTGGACTGGTTACTGATTTCCATTGCAATATAGCAGTATTTTGTTTAAGGGACATAATGTATTAAATGTGTAAACAAGATAAAAATCACAAATATGTATTTTTCCCCAGTCATTTCCACCTTGACCACTGTGGCTGTCTGCCCTACATGACAGAGATGGTGGGATATGACGGACCCATCTACATGACTCACCCAACTAAAGCTATCTGTCCCATCCTTCTGGTAAGTGACATGTCCTGGTAGTGTCAATGTCATGGCATAGAATATCTGCAGCACCCTATGTTACATGCTCGGGTTACATCCTTATGTTCCAACACCCGAAGATGTTCCAACAACTCAACCTTTGTTCCAACAACCCTATGGTAATCAGTATGTTAGAACATAGGGTGTTGTAACATACTTACCTAACACAGTGTGAGTTACTGCTCCTTGGCTTCATCAGCTGCTTCCTTCTGTCCTCGTGGGTTTCGCCCCCTATAGCAGGACCCACTCAAGAAGGCGGGGCAGTAGTGCTGGCCAAACACTGCTAGCCAAGGTTCTTCGGGATCCACTCTCCATCTGTGCTCTTGACCCAGAGCCATCGGGATGCTCTCTCTGCCTCCTCTGCGACTCTCTTTGTCACTTCCCTCCTTCTTCTGCCCTTCACCCCTACCGCTCCTAACATCCTCCATGTTGACTGGCAGATGAAACCTCTCGTTCCCACCTCCACGGGGAAGCACATCGCTCTCCATCCCTTGTCTTTACATGACTGCACTAGGTCTTGGTACTTTAGTGCCTTCCTCTCATGTGCCTCTTCTACTCTTTCCTCCCATGGGACTGTAAGTTCAATCATTTAATCTTTAAACTCTCTGATGTTATAGAACTGTCCCCACTTACTTGTGCACTGAACCCTGCTATCTTCTAATATTACTAATAATCATTTTTCCTGTACTGCATATAGGAGGACTACAGGAAAATCACAGTGGACAGGAAGGGAGAAAGCCAGGCCAACTTCTTCACTTCTCAGGTCATGCTCCTTTCAGTTTATTTGTTGATATGTTAAGTTTTTTTTCAAAATTGTAATAAGATGCCAAAAGATTTTCACCATACTGATTCATGTCACAGCGTTATTTAACATTTGAGTGTGTAGGTGTTCATAAATGATCAACAAGATGTGCTACCAAGCTAATGTAGAATCAACATACTTCAAGAATTATGTTTTGAACACTGTATTTTACCTTACAGATGATAAAAGACTGCATGAAGAAAGTCGTTCCTGTCAACTTGCACCAGACTGTGCAGGTATTACCTGATTATGTTCTGTTTCTCTTGTTGACTAACATTCAGTTTTCTTGTATAGCTTTGCTTTTCTTATCAAAATAAAGTCAGCTGAACATTTTTAATAGCTAACCATTGAAGAAAAGCTATATAAGGGGAACAACATTAATCATAGAATTATTAATTGTTTGTTTTCTAAGGTTGAAATGTTGAATATTTCACAGGTTGATGATGAGTTGGAGATCAAGGCTTACTATGCAGGCCATGTGTTGGGGGCAGCCATGTTCCTCATCAAAGTGGGCTCTGAGTCAGTCGTATACACGGTAATACCCTAACACCCAGCTTGGATCCATTTTTACCATGATTGTGAAAACATTTGAGAAACCATTAGTGAATAATTCACCAGGTTGGTTCATACAAATAAATGATCCAGTTCATTTGAGGCGGAACCAAAAGGATTAAGCTTCCAGAGTTTCAGTAGTTCTTCTGCTGCCCTATTCAGGACAATACTGACTGGTTCTACCCAGGCACATGTACATTTCTACTGCTAGGGGGCACTATAGTGAGGGGAGTTTTGTCCCAAATGTGACTAAATTAATATTAACTGAGAAAGAGTTTTGTAAGTTGCTTACCGTTTGTCTCTGTTCTTGCAGGGGGACTATAATATGACACCTGACAGACATCTGGGGTAAGTGTTGTATCTTACTTTCTGTCTTCTCCCTGGAGCCTCAACATGTAACCAGTACAAATGTGGTACCAAAAGACTACCTCAGTAGTGAGAAGGTTAAATTCAGGATTGTTAGGATTAGGAGTTCTAAAGTTAGAGTGATCCGTTGTTTTAATCATTGCGTGAACTAACCTTCTATGCTGTTGCATCACAGAGCTGCGTGGATAGACAAGTGCAGACCTGATCTCCTGATCACAGAGTCCACATATGCCACCACTATCAGGGACTCAAAAAGGTGAGGACTACTAGATACTCTAGTACTGCTAGATATAAAGAAATGTTTGAGTCTACCCAAAGCCCAGTAAACATGTTAGCTGTGAATAGAAATCAAGTACATTGGGTTACTTTTTCATGACTTGTTTGTTTTTGTGTTGCCATGCAGATGCAGAGAAAGGGACTTTCTGAAGAAAGTGCATGAAACAATAGAGAAAGGCGGAAAGGTTTGTTAGCGTTCCTTGCAGTTACTTGTACTATACCTCTATATTCCAATACTGCACTATCTAGTATCTATTAAAAGTATCTAAATTACTCATAAATGAGTCTTGCTTCTTTAACTATAAGAAGATACAAACCAATTTTCCTTAACTTTATAATTGGGTGAATTGTGAGAACATGTAGTTAGTAGGTACACTATACAATTCATAATTGTTTTTCAGGTTCTCATTCCAGTATTTGCTCTTGGAAGAGCCCAGGAGTTGTGCATTTTACTAGAGACCTTTTGGTAAGTAGATGCAAGTGCAGAAAGAAAACTACTATAACTTAGTATAAGTGGCCCCTATAGATACCTATGGTGTACAGATGACATCCAATTTTGAATTGAGTCCTCATATACCTTTAAGTGCTGCAGTACTCATGAACACTTCTATCTTATTCACATTTTTCAGGGAGAGAATGAACATCAAGGCTCCAATCTACTTTTCAACTGGCCTAACCGAGAAAGTAAGGCAACTCATTTTCTCTGCATCTGTGATATCATATGTTGAAATGCTTTATAGTTCCAGCAACTATTATCACTTACTAGCTGTATTAGAGCGGACTTTTAGTGAAGATATCATCATGATCATGTCCCTTTTTCTTCCAGGCCAACAACTACTACAGACTGTTCATCACTTGGACCAATCAGAAGATTCGAAAGACCTTTGTCAAGAGGAACATGTTTGAGTTCAAACACATCAAGGCGTTTGATAGGTCCTACATTGAGAACCCTGGGCCCATGGTCAGATTTTTTTCCTATGTGTATCTCATTCATTCTCTTTCTTCACAATCAGGTTTAAGAAGACAGATACATGTATTATGATAACGCTCTTCGGATACAGAGACATTGTGTAGATATCTACAGGTTAATTAATGTCTTTGTGATATTAAGATTTTGACTAAGTTTTACCTGTTCCCAGGTTGTCTTCGCCACCCCAGGCATGCTCCATGCAGGTTTGTCACTACAGATCTTTAAGAAGTGGGCTCCTGACAGCAAGAACATGGTGAGAAATGACCCCCTTCAACATCTTTCACATTCACTTTATATGTATTTGTCTGATGTTATCTTTATGATAACGACACCCCAACCAACATCTGTATCCCGTTGATGATCAAGACTATCTTTCATACATCATTATCTGCTAAATCAGTGTTACAGACAGTGCCGTTAATGATTTTGCTGTGAGCTGTACAAAGGTTAAAATGCACTCTCAGTAGGAAGAAGGTTAAGTTTTTAATCCTCTCCTCCCTACAGGTGATCATGCCAGGCTACTGTGTGGCAGGGACAGTCGGACACAAGATCCTGAACGGGATCAGGAAGATCGAGTTTGAGAACAAGAAAGTGGTGGGTGAACAACTTGTTGTTCCTAATTTTGTACATGGAAAGAAAAATGACATCTCATCTGTTTTAAGTATGCAATGTGTTCAACCATACTACATGTAGTATTACCCCAGTAGAATTCAGTTAACTTTATAAAAATCCATTCACCTAACAGATATTTTATAAGGTTACTAGTATTGTTTATTGCCAGCTCAAAGGTCTACCCTAACTCTGATGAATGATATTGAAAATGAACATTTTCCCTGTGTTTTTCAGCTGGAGGTCAGGATGGCTGTAGAGTATATGTCCTTCAGGTGAGAAAAGTTTGATCATATTTAGTCCTTGTCTTATCCCAGGTGACACTATGCCTCCAAGTTGTGACTGAACACACATGTACAATACATTTGCCAACTTTGAAGATATTTGTTTTTTGTTTCACCATTTGTGTTACTGTTTTTTGTTCTTGCTTGTCCTACATGTAGACTCCTGTCAATGTGACACTTTGCAAAGGTGGCAAAAGAGTTGGTTAGAAATGTCGATGAAGGTTAGACATCCAGTAATAAGGTATGCCAAAAACCAGTTACTCAAGCAACTGGATATGATTTTGGAACTGGTCAGATGTTTCAGCTAGCATCCACTAGCTTTCGTCAGTGACTGAGAGACCAGAGGAGAAATGCAGGTTTATAAGCACAAACTATTGATTGATATGCAAGTAAGTGAAGACAATGTGAACATTGACAAGACAGTGAAGTAAGGTTAGAAATTTGATACAGGACATAATGTATAGTACTGGTAACTCAATAGGATTATGTCAGTCATTGTACCCTGTGCCCCCCTCCCCACAGTGCCCATGCTGATGCCCAGGGCATCATGCAGCTGATCAGGTACTGTGAGCCGAGAAACGTCATGTTGGTACATGGAGAGGAGCAGAAGATGGACTTCCTCAGCAAGAAGATCACACAGGAGTTTGGTAGGATTAGATTCAAGATTCTCAACAATGTGATTTACCATTTTCCTGCCAGTTCTTGGTTTAAACACAGTCACCATGTGCAGAAAAGAAAGGCAGTTTTGGAAAGCTTTGCTCTGAAACTGCAAGAAGTTTGCTTTACAGAACAGAGACCATAGAACACATGTTCAATACTTGTTAAAGTGATTTGAAAAAAATTAACAGATGTGTTACAGTTCCCTTTTGACTTCAGAGAGACTACATGTAATTTACCTTTGGCATGCAATGTACCGGTATTGTTTTTCTTTCCCACTTCAACATTGGTCATCTCTTCTGACTTGTTTCTCTAGGTGTTCAGTGTTTCTTCCCAGCCAATGGGGAGACAGTAACCATAGAAACCAACCCCAACATCCCTGTGGATGCTTCACTCAACCTGCTGAAGAGGGAGGCATCTTTGACAGGTAACTTTGTGTGGTTAACCCTCATCCTACTGTGGAATCTACCATTTAGCAAATCTGGAATGATTACAGTATAATCTGCAGGAAGAGGGTTAATAGGGGTGATTAGTTTTTGAGGTACCGTCTCTCAGCATTTAGGAAAGAGAATTTGAGTTAAACACATATCATTACCAGTGGACTAGCCCCCTGCTGTAGTGATTGCACCACTGTGTGGCCCAAGTGCTTCAGAAATTGAGATGGGCACTGCCATGTACACTGTGTATGGTTGCAGGGAGTGCCTTAACTTTAACTTCATGACATTGTGATCATCACACTTTGTACTGCTGTTTTTTTTTACATTTTGTTCCATACTTACAGGACTGCCTGACCCCAAACGACCCAGAGTGCTACATGGTGCCCTCATTATGAAGGAGAATGTAAGTTATGATCTTATGGATGTACTGATTTTATCCTGTTCTAAAGCCTTTTTCTTGCAATTGAACTTTGCCTGGCAATTAATATAGTGATAAAGTGATTTACATTTTTTTTTCTTCCGAAAATAGTTTCATCAGGTTGGTAAAGTATAGGATACAGGAATTTTCTTTCACACAACCAAGTTAGACTTAACCAAGTTAGCGGCAAAAAGCAGAACTCCAGTCAGAAGCTCTGAGGAAGGTGTCTGATAGACACAGAAACATAAGCAAGGTAAGTCTAACTTGGTTGTGTGAAAGAAAACTGTATCCGAGTATTTACTGTTGCATGCATCCACAGAGCCTGCGCCTGGTGTCTCCGAGCCAGGCTATGAGAGAGCTGGGACTGAAGGAACATGAGATCAGATTCACCTCCACAGTCACCATCCACGACCCGCAGCCCACACAGGGCACCGTGGAGAGGCTATACACACATCTCAAGGGGTAAGATATCACAATTTGCAAGGGTGTATCCCTGCAAGCTATGAAACTAGCTGTGAAGCTGTTTTTTAATATCATGTCAGTCAAGTTAGATCAATTTCATACATAGGGAAGTGGTAATGAAAATGAAAGTTGTCAGTCACAGATATTTCTTGCTTTGCAGAAGTTACTAAGTTATGTTTTTGTTAACCCTCTTTTACAGTATACTGAAGGACCACTCCATCCAACACATGCCTGATGGATCTGTTATGATCGACTCGGTGCTTATTAAGGTGAGAAGAAGCCTGTTTTAAGTATCAGGATTTAGATTTTAAAAATTCAGTCTGCACTAGAGTATGAAATAAAGAATGTATAACACATTCTTGAATGTAGATGCGAACAAATTTTGTTCATAATTACAAGCTAATTTGATGTGATATTTTCTAAGTTGAGACCTACATGTAGATAGTCTAAATCCCTGTAAAATCCTTGCAGGTGTCTGGGTCTTCAGAAGAGGAGGAGACCAAGGATTTCTTAGTGTCATGGCCCTATGAGGTGAGCAACAGGTTTTAGAGAAAGGGGAACAGCATTATGCACCCTTGTAAAAGTGGTGCATAATGTTGTCCCTCATTATTACTAGCTACAAACAATGCCAGACACAGTATACGTATATTTTAAAGTCATACCTAGTTGCACGTTAACTTTGATCTGCCAAACATGAAGAGGAACTACACTTACAAGAAAATCTTCTGTTGACTGCAGGATGAGGACTTGGGTAGTCACCTGATGACACTTCTGAGAAAAGGTCTGCCCAAAACTGTGGAGGCCTGAAGGATTCTTCATACTATTATTCCAAGAACTAAGGAGGGGGAGGGTGCTAAAGGATGGAAACATCTTGATATAGAACTGTAGCCGCATAATGCCAAGTTGGAGGCTTCAGTATCAGGATAGCAGACATTTTACGAAACTTCAGCTGGAAAATACTGTACTAGTGTATAGCAGATCACCCAGAAGGAAAAGTACTGGGCAAAGGATTTTTTGTATGCACCATTAGAGGAGTTTGATACAGGAAAGACTTACTAGATAATTTTGCCATTGTACAAATTGACAACACCCACCACAACAACAGTAAGCATATGCCAAAAAACACTAAGTAACAGTAAGCATAGTTGGGCCCCAAATACTATTACTCAGACTACACTAAACCATATTATACATGTATGTGTGACTGTAAATAGATTTAATAAACTTCTTTTTCTTATTTCCTGGGTCAAACGTATGATAAACACACAGTGAAAAGCTTCCAGCTGGCATGAGTCATTTTATGTCTATTGTCAGCGCTGTTGTAAAAAAACACGAACGCCATGACATCATTGTGTAGAGGACACCGTGAAGGCCGCGGTGACCTGGCACGTATCGTGCGACATGACTCACCCCTTGTGCTGTGTGCCGAGGGAAAACATTGGCCAATCATTAACGCACTGTAAAAACCGTCGGCAAATAAACGGTGACACTTGCACCATGCACTGCTTATCACGGTCTAATCAATCCCCATTGAAACGCCCAGGTGGAAACTCTCCACGTCATTGGACAAGCAGCCATTTGTGAAATGGGGGTGGGGGGCGACTAAGGTGTTGTTAATCTTACCTATTAAACACCTGCAAATTATTGTTAAATGGAGACGAATTATTGACTAGATTGAATCAAATTGGTCAGAGGTTAGGGGTAGACAATGGGTCTTTTAAGTTTGGCCTTTTTAAGATTTACCTTTTAGCATACGATTAGCCTAAAATTACTTCTGTATCATTCAAGCTAAAAATTTACATTCTATCACAATCTAAGACAGTTTAATTTCTACTTTCCCATTGGTCCTGAGTGAATTTCAAATAGTTGTCTGACCAATAGGAGAAGATATTATTTGAGAAAAATAAGTCATCAATAAGGTTACAATGTTTACCATACTTGTTACCGGTATTGACAAGTTTTAATCTGATATAAGGCTGAATTCAAATTTTGTATCAACCAATCAGACTGCAATTTCATTTCAGACATGTGACAATCAAATCCTATCCAACTGAAAACATGGGTCATTCGTGGTCATTAATAATGAGGCACGGTCATAGAAAGGGCAGACTAGTTGAGTTAATATTTCACCAGTGTGCGAGCTGTGTAGATTAGGGTAGAGCTCTGCAACCATTATGAAACAGTCTAGTTAGCTATTGGCTTATGTCAATCCATATCTGTTTAATCTTTCTCAATATGAGACAATGGAACAGTACTGTTACAAAAGACATGAAATAATGGGGCAAAAATGACCTGCCTCTCATTTTTATTTGTAAGCTCTACCAATTGTGCAGAATTTTACAATTCCACATATGATGTCATATATCCTGTTGGACTATCTCTGAGATAATCTCATTAACTGTGTACACCATTCAAACAGGACTGGACAGTGGAAAAAGAACTTTTAAGAAAATATACTAGTAACATAGTTTGGGGTGTTTGTAATTTTGTAACATTTTATTATCCCACTTCATTTTGAGGAACTGCTTTCAGTTTCCTTTCCTCCATAGGACAGTTGACTCAATAGAAAACTTGCATCAAGCTGTCCAAAAAAGTTAAACAAACCAAGGAAAATGACAGAATTTTGAAATACTGCTCCAATCTCCCCCAAGATCTGTACCTTGGTAAATGTTTAACGGAATACGCCGACCGTTAGAGTCGTTGGTGGAGTTTGTCACCAATCAGTTTGCGGCCCCAGCCATTGGTGATTTACTGTGTTTGCTGTGCGCGGGACAATGTGCGCGTGTGGACCCAGCAAACAGCCCCAGCCATTTTGAATAAAGTTCACCCAGCCATTCACCCACCTTTACCACACCTGTTTCTGGCGGGCTCTTCAACGGACAAGCTCCACACCTTGTGCAACGTCTTCACGTGTTGAAGGTGAGATTAATACCCCCTTTTATTCACTTTAAGAAGAGTTTTTAGTACTGAACATTGTGGTGATGAGTGATTTTATGATAAAGATGTTGGAAGTGTACTTTTTACAACCTAAATTGAATTCCAGTTAATGAGGCAGTTGAATGTAGTGCAAACAGTCATGGTATTCAGTTCCAGCCATGCATCTTGAACTACCTTGCAAAGTCCTGTTCCTACCTGTTCTGTGATTTAAGCTTGGACATATGAAATACAAAAAGAAGAAAAAGGCCACTTTGGTCAAGGATTTTGAGAATAAAGACCAGCGACTTCAATTTTTGAATTAGTACAGCTACATGTAACAGCAATTCAAAGTTGAACTTGTTACTGATAATTGATGATCAAGATTTATATGTATATGAGGCAACTTGGTATTTCATTTGCAACGAGACTAAAAAGTTAAATCTTTGGTTTTGTGATATGGCAAGTCACCTGGTGTGCAATTCATCCAGCATTATTCTTGCTCAACAACGGCAGGGACCCTGGTTATAGATTTACTAACAGTGTAATTATTTGCTGAATGCCAGTTACCTTACGTCATGACTGTTACACAGTGCAGGGTCACAGGGTTTATTCAAAGTGCGCATAAACCCACGCTATCTTTGACATTCTGCGTCCCTTGTTTTTGCATACATTAAAGCTGAACTTCAGGGTGGACCAGATTTTGAAGAAGTATTCAGAACAAGGACAGTTACATTTTGTAACTGCCGTAGAGCCTTTATGTGCAGGCATTTGTCAAAAGGTTTTCGTCAAAGTCAGCTCTTTTCTCTCAACAATTGAATGCTTATCCTGAAGTCTCGTGTACAATCGTATGTTCCTGTTTCAAAGACTCAACAAGCTATTTTCATGCACAAATTGGCTGATGCATTCAAAATCGAAGGACATCCTGTTGAACTGTGTAGTTCTTTTCTGTTTACTTTTGAAATGAGACCAGTATTAACCCATGTTCTTACATTTTTTTTACCATAGGATTAAATCAACCATGCTGCGCATCCTGGTTCTGTCAGCCGTAGTCGTGCTGTCCTCTGCACAGGTCCGAAATTGTCCAGACAATGACTATGGCCCTCGTGAGTGTACATGCACCATCGTAAACCTGGCAGGCATCGACCACAGAATAATTGACTGCCAGGGGAAAAGTCTTCCCGCCGTTCCCGCTGGCATCCCTGCCGACACGTTCTCACTCGATCTCAGCAACAACGCCATCACCGAACTCTCCGCGGATGCCTTCACATCTCTGAACGCACTCGAGCAGCTTCTGCTGTCAGGCAACCAGATCACTGCCATCCCAGACGGAGTGTTCCAAAGCTTGGAAGATGTGAAGGTGTTGCGGCTGAACGAAAACGGATTGACAACGCTGACCAATGGGATGTTCTCTAGCCTGGTTGCATTAGAGAAGCTTGACTTAGATGATAACCGGATCGAGACCATCACTGGGTCACCGTTCAGCGGCCTGGCACGCCTGAGGGAGCTGAGGTTGAACGCCAACCGTATTATCAACCTACCGACCGCGGTGTTCCAGGGCTTGGCCGGTCTTCAGAAGCTGTTCCTGCACGACAACTTCATCACCAGCGTCCCGTCACAGGCCATCCGCAGCCTGAACACCCTCATCGAGCTCCATCTCGAGAACAACGACATCCTCACCGTCGGAAACGACAGCTTCGTGGGCCTGACCTCCATGCTGAACATCTCGCTGAGCGGGCAGCCGGACCTGGTGGAGGTGCAGGCCTTTGCTCTGCGGGGGGTCAACAGGAACCTGGAGCGGCTGGAGATCAGGGACTGTCCCAAACTCACCATCCTGCATGAGGAAACCTTCCGCGACTTCACACTGCTACAGGTACATCAATCATGTTGATAGTGGATAATGGAAATATGACCAGTAGTCCTTTTTGTTTGCAAGGCCTTGATAAGGAAATGATAATTCTGTATACAGAAACAAGTTGAGAATTATGACTTGAAATCTACATGATAGTGAACTTCGATTACTGCTTCTAAAGCCTTAGTTTAATCTAATCAAACATTTTGTTTTTACATTGCATCTTGGATGACAGGTACATGTAATTGTGCCTGCTGACTGTTGTTTGGCAAACAAAATTTAGTAATATTTGACAGGAGCAAAAAATGAGAATGCAGATGGCTCAGTGGGAATGATGAAAATCAGATTAACGGCGACTTTTTGTGTGATGATAACATTGTCCATTTCTTTTCTAGCGTCTGGACTTGTCCAACAACAACATCTCTCGTCTGCCCAAGGCTGCCCTGGAAAACCTGAACCGCCAGGCACTGGTCACACTATCAGGTAAGGGACTACATAATTATGTAGTTATCTATCCTATATGTGTAATACTGTAACAAACCAGCTTTGTAGACATGCAATAGCAAATGTATTGTTTTACACAGCTTGTCACATTATCTAACCCCAAACATTGTTTAGGTTATGACCTAATTTGCATAATTAATGTGAAAAGTATGTGACCCCTTATTGGTGAATGATGGGAATTTTATACCTTGTGACATGTGTAAGTTACTTAAAGGTTAACACCACTATGCATATATTATGTTAATGTAGAGGTCATTTGCATAATTAATGAGGACTTGTTGAAATGAAGTTTGACAAAGGAGAGGAATTTCACACGAAAGATATTGTCGTTTGAATTTAGAAAACCATAAATTAAACTAGATCATGCGAATTACAACCTTATTTTCATAGTCAATGAGACAAATAAAAAAAACATTTATATTTCATGGAGGTATGAGATCTCCGAATTCTTGTTTGTAAGTGCAAAACAATAAACAACAACAACAAAAATTTGAACGGTTCTGACGAAGGCGCTGATTTTGCAGGTAACCCGTGGATCTGCGACTGCCGTCTGTCGTGGCTGCGGGACTGGATGGACGAGGCCGTCATGAACCCTGACCTCCTGGACATCAACAACGTGATCTGCGATGCGCCGCCCAAGCTGAAGGGTCAGCAGCTGGAGATCGTGAACCGGTTTGATCTGGACGACCCAGACGTGTGCAACCTGCTGAACCCGGCGGGGCAGATCGGGGCGGGACCGGTCGTGGTCGCGTCGCTGTTCTCCCTGTTCTGCGCTCTCGCTTTATCGTTCGCCGTGTGACGCTGCCTAGAAGCAATGTGGTAGCTCTAAAACCTAGTACTTGTTTCTCTGTATTTGATCTATTTTTTCTCTTTGTCAGAAAATCAAGTAAGAAATCATGTACAATGTGCAACAAAGGGTGTAAAATGTGCATCATCAGTGTTTACCAGTCACATTTTAGTCCTGATTATGGAATGCTTTCTAATCAACTTTATGACTGATGATTCAAATGTTTCTTATATACAGAAGGTGTGATATACCTTCGGCAATGCCGTCTTTAATTCAGATCCTTTTGCAATACAATGTACAATCTTGAAAATTTGTCACTTTTCTTAGTGGCAGGAAATGTTGTGAAAGAAGAAGTGGATACTTTTCAATAATCATCATGCTGTGATTCTTAGGAGTTTTCATGAGCTGAAGGTTTTAACCATACTACTAGTTGTTTTTTAAGGCTTTATTAGGCAGTTTTTATGTTTTTTTGTGTGTATTATGCTATGTTGCACCAAGCTGTTACACAATCTCCACTGAATGTGAATGTTTTAGGGAGTGGTTAATCAACTGATCTATAAAACTTTGTAGAATTATTCCATGACTTTCTTCAACTTTTATTCTTTCTATCATTGTACATTGTACTTAGATGTATGGCCTGTATAACTGTTAATCCCTTTCTTTGTGTTCATTTTCCTGGTTTTACACTTGTCTTCTATTCATGTTACCAAACCACCACATCCCCATACTTTGATATGGAACATCCCAATTTTGAAAGCTTTTTGATAGAGGCCATCACTAGCTCTGCTTGTCAGTCACAGAATGCTGTTGTAAGTGTTTTTCAAGTTTTATTGATGGCAATTGCAAATAAAAGCTCAGTGTGAACTTTGGTGGCATATTCTGATTGGTTGTCAGCTCATTATATGAATGCTTCAGAATACATTGTTTATAATCATCATTAGGCCCACTAATTCAATTTCATCGTATTAACCTCTTCTGAAAAAAGTCATAATATGCATGGATTATTCTGTAAAAACTGAAACCCCCATATGAGCCATTTGAGTTTCTCCATCCCCAAAAGGTTGAAACCCCATCCACATGTATAGTTTGAACTTTGTCATTTGCATAACTTATTAATTAATAACTAGGTGGCTTGTAGACATTTGTAGGTAGACATATTGACCTATTAAGGGCTGTTTTTTGTCGTCTTATCTGTTGTTTGTGACATAGTAACAGTATATTAACCTTCTCCCTACCAAGGTAGCCTTTTTGCACAATTTAAATTTGGTATGATCTTCATGTGCTATATTTCATCAGGACAAGCTAAAATTATGCTACATGTATTAGAAAACAAACTTTGAAAACTACAAGTAGATCTTTTAGGCAAATGATTAATTGATTAGCTCATGAACTGTAAGGATTAAAGATAGATTAACTAAGGTCTTAATCTTACATGGTGCAACATTGGTTTATCTGCTAAATACCTGTACATGTAATGTGTCAGGGCTGTAGTGTCCGGCAAGTGTGGCCATTGCTTATGAGCGACCTCTAGCGGCTGTCAAGACTTATGCACGCTATATATAGGTAACACTCCATAATTCCACTACATCAATACACGTTGAAAGGAAAATTAAAACCGCCTAAATTTTGGCGCCAAATCAGGAGTGCAGGTGTCGTCTGAAAATGCTCCTGACAGGTGTCCAGTTGTAGACCTCTGATGGTGCTGAAGACTAGTGCTCCCGTACTGAGATTCGCATGGGTTCCAACTTCCACAGTCGCATGGCGTTCTCACAACATAGGTAAGTTGAGATCATTTTCTTGATATATACATTTGATGGAGTAGCGCTTGTTGCAGCCCGGTCTCACAAATATATTTACTATCGGCGATATTAGAGATACATTGTTGTACATGTACAACGTTACCTGTCCGAGCAAATGAGGCATGGCAACATACGAGTGGTGTTCATATGCTGCTGCCTACTCGCGCATCTGGAAAGAGAAACACCGCATGATCACACCTAACATTAGAACAACATAGCTTTACTTTAAGATACAGAGTGAGCTCGGTTACGGAAATAAAGCAGTGTTTAGTCGAAGCAAAAAAATTGGAGCATTTTATATCCCGTCGCCAGATGGCGCTCCAGCACTACGCCAACGCTTTCAGCTGGTGGGTTTGACAGCATGAACACGATGACGCCACTAAGAAACTGGCCACTAAGAAATTAAAGTTATAAATCTTTTATCTTCAGCGTTTCATTTTGTAAAACGTTGCGAATAAAAGGTAGTAACTAAAAACTGAGGAAACTTGGATAAAAGTGAAATACCAGTGCGGCAGGGCGGTTATTAGATTGTATGAATTGGAGTTTCAATCACTAATCTATATAAATGGTTACAATTTAGACAACGAGCACTGTTATCATTTCGCTGCACTGAGCTATCCTGGTGATCAAATCTAAAAGGAACTAATTATAACCAAGAATCCAATCATGCCAGGAAAGTTGAAGAGGTCGTCCCTAACTTCCTGGCACACCGATATTGCACGGTAATTGAAAGGGCTGTGATGAAAAATTAACAAGATTTTACAGTATGGAGCAGTTAAAAGCCTCTTTGTATCTCTGATCCTAAATACAGCTTAAATGTACGTCATATTAGGGGTTAACCATTAATAGATACAAGAGGCTATGAAAGGGGAATTAAACTGTACGATTTGAACCAGGAAAATTGACCACACAGGCACACTTCCACGGTTTCATAATTGTTTATTTTCTCCGTTGTGCCTTGGTAATCTAAGAAGATACACAATTCTAATTTTGACTTCAATTTGTCCCCGTTTGGAACCGTCATCCTCGACATTGTATTTGAACTTAGGATGAGGACATTCCTGCCGCTCCAAGATGTGACATGAGATACGGGGTGTACAATAACAGTCGGTATCTTTACAGGAAAGACATATTAGGTCATTCGTGCTGGACTAACGTTACGTGCAGATGGTACTATTATCTTCAGTTGAGCCTGGCATCCAGGGAGGTTTAGGGAAGAAATATTTTATCCCACTGTATAGCCAATAACATTCAGGGCAACAATGATAGTCGATTCTAAGCAAAATAGTGTGGGGAACTGTACCTGATACAGTGTAGAATATTTTGCCAGGGTACCCCACAGTTCTATCGTTAATTTTTTTACAGCTCATGCATTCGAAAGAGCATGCTTATATATTATCAGTTTTTTATGATGTTTTTATTTTCGTCGTGTCACATATAGTTTTCAAAATAATTGAAATCTGTCAAAGAGTCTATATTTGTATTGTTGCTTCAAACTCAGGTTACAGCATACATTTGTACATACATACAGTCAGTCGTTTGTTTATCTCTCCCCAGTACTAATTGCGCATTAGTGGTCTCTATGCGGGCTACATACCGCGAGAAGGCCTTCAGTCGTCACGGCCTGCAAAGCCGAGATTCTTGACGGTCTTCCGAGGGCAGCGACTGTAAAATATCTCACAAAGGACTTGCGGGTTAGATACAACTGTATAACACCGCAGTATATACAATTTGTTTTGGACTCAGTGGGGGCATAATGGGACATCCAGTGCAGTTTTTAGGGCTTGGAAACCATATTTTTTAAAGTCAATATTCTAGTCACTTATCTACATACTAAGTTGAACCAACAATTTCTTAATGTATATCGACATTCATGGACCAAAAATTCCTAAAGGTCTGACCAAAAAAACGGTTACTGGCCTCGGGACGGGTACCACCCCGAAAATAAAGGACTTTATCTTGGGGCTTGTTTCTGCAGTTTTAAATGCCTTTTAAAAGTATGAAATGCTGATTCAAATGTGGTACAGTATGTGTCAATTTTATACAGATTACCTTAATCAGAATACTTCCAGTTTTGCCGCCATGAAAGTGCATGCGATGCATTTAACTGTCTAATAAAAGCTCTAAGGTTTCTAAAATATTCATAACACCAGCTGTTGTCGCTATGAAAACAATTATGCAAGACTATGAAATTTTCCAATTTGATTAACACAACGCAACATCACTATAAAGAAGTAAACTTTTCACCCTAGAGGGGAATTTCGTTAATATTTTACAAGTGGATAATCCTCAAGGGACAAACCAGAAATGATCATGACAGGTGAAGAAATTTTGGTGAAAACTTAAACTTTCTTGTCAAATTAATTACGTCAGTTAAACTTTTCTTGTGTACCATCCTTTTTTTCTATCTCTAAACTATCTCTTTGTAATTCGACTGGGATATTTATAAGAAGATTAAAATCATAAAACTTTTATAAAAATTGTAACCCTTAACGTTTGTCCACAGAGGCTACCAGAAGGAAGTATCTGAAACATTTCTGTGTGTGACATATCTGTAGTGGTATGTCCCTAGACATTAATAAAGACTAATAGAATAGCAAGGTCATCTGTGGCATCGATGACGCGGCTTCAGTAAGCTAAGATAAGCCCCATCTTCGGACATAGACAGCTGCGGCCAGCAGCATGATCTAAAACACACCACACTCTAGATATAATTCAGCCTCTACAATCTTTGGTTATAGAAATCCTAAATTTTGTTCTTACGTTGGAGGGGGTACGGTAAGGTGGAGGGGGGTAGTTAAGAGGTTGCAGGTTCAGTACTACATCAATATTTATGATACAAAGGTTATTTAATGTTAATTCCATCCCAGCACCTGGTGTTTTCTCACCAAACTCATTCCTGCCCTGAGCCATTTGGTTGGTAGGAGGCGGTAAAAGATAAAGAAACAATTCTCTTGAACTAAGACCATGTAGCAATAAATTAAGCAATTGACCACAGATATAATAGCAAAAATCGTAACCACTGTCAAGCCACCATCCAGTCTGATTTCCCCCGAAAAGTGGTGTGTTCGAGTTGCTCGTGTCTTACTAGGCCTGATAGGGTGAGGGTGCGTGTGGCTACGTCAGTTTAATGGTTCAAAGGTCTGGCCGGATCAAATATAGCATATCATATACTTAGGCCACACCAATTTAATTTGTTGGTTCTCGGATTTTTTCAGAAAAAATATGAAGCGACAGGGCGAAAAAAAAAAAATAAAAACAGGTCTAGGCATCCTATTATAGGCTTAAATGCTACAAAATGAGCCATGAAGTCAACACAAAAGGCTGGGTTAAAATTTAAACATTGAATTTTGAACTTTTAATCAAACCACTGCAATGATAGATGGGAAAACTGTAACAACTAGGAAGAAAAGGACTTTCCTCAACTGTTGGGGGGCAAAACATGAGCATTTTTCAGTTGATTCAGGACCAGAATCAATTTTTTTTTTTGCAAATCAGAAAAAAACGAAGAGGCGAATCCGAGAACCAACAAATTAAATTGGTGTGGCCTTATCCTGTATTATCACTACGAGGGAAGGACTATACGCTGTAGTTCGCCGGGCATGTGTTGGCACTGTTGCCAAACTTAAGTCACGACTGTTTACTTCTCTCTTGTTAGATAAGCTGATTCGTAAAATATTGTTGTACAAGGTATAACGTTATAGCAAGGAGGTTATAGTGGATACAGCAAACTACACTAACAGTACAATCCTCTAACACGCCTGTTTTCGGGACAGGAAATAGTGCGCAACGCTTTCCAAGAAGTTTTGGAGATGACCCAAAACATTTCAAGGCGCTTTAATTGTCACACATGTAAAATGTGATAATGCCTTTCTTAGAATCCATGCTATCCGGTTGACGTCCGTTTAAAAGACGTCAGACAAAGGCGTATCTTTGTTCTTTCAGGTGAGCTCTTGCATGACAAGGTTAGGGACTGTTCGGAAATAGGGAAGCGGCCACGTGAGACAGTTCCTAAACATACTCGTCTCTTACTAATGGCGTCGGACCCTTAGTGTTTATATGTGCCTTGCCAGTTCGTTGGTTGAATTACGTTGTTTTTGTTACGGTTTAACTTTGTTGAGACAGCCCACGCTACCGACCAACCGTAGCGGTTATTGAGTCATGAACGGTCCCCTTAGGGCTGCCAAGTGGGATGAAACACGGGTCGTCATATATTGTGTACCCACCACTAGTACGTACCCACCAGCTGAACTGCCGGGGGCAAATAGCTGAGGGCTTTGGCCCCCTGATGGACGGTTTGGCTCTGACAGTGCTTCGATCGAGGTCTGGTGGTGGTATTTGGAGCAGAACGTTCGGTAGGAAAGCAGGCTAGAGCAGTCCTACAAACGTGCACACGTGTGTGGCCTAGTTGTGGCGTCCTTGGGCAACTGTTATGGCCGGGAGGGATGGAGGGGGCGACCCTGTAGTTAGTGAAGCCGGCGGGACAGAGCGCACGGCTGCCGGTAAACACCACCACCACCACCGCCGACTCTCCTTCTCCGGTATCCGCACCTCCCTTCGCAGGTCCTCGGCGGCCCGGAGAAGCTCCCACGGCGCGGACTCCGACAGAATGAGTGAAGAGGAGATTCAAGAGTGGAGAGATGCATTTGACGTGTTCGACAGAGACAGAGACGGTGCCATCAGCGCTAAAGAGTTAGGTTCAGCTATGAGATCGCTCGGGATGGATCCTTCAGAGTTTGAAATCCAGGTGAGTTTGGAAACACGTCTGATCTAGATTTAACACTTCCTGTACATGTAGACTTCTTTGTCCATTGTCTATTCGAGCGATATCGTGATCCAGGTAGAACGCAACTTTGTCCCTTTATTTATTTTGGCGTTCAGCCATGAACATGTAAGCTCTTCCGTCATGCTCTAACAAAGCACAGGAATCAAGATTGCACCTGACAGGAAAACATGAATGTTTGCTGGCATTTCCCCTTAATACAACGTTCTTTGGTGATGTGTATTTACCTTGAAGCTCGGTCGGATTATGGCTAAACGCTCCGCCGCCGATATTATCGTTCTTTCACAGGAAATCGTGACAGGTGTAAACCTCAAGCAGATGTGGGGTTGGTTCTGGTTGCCATTCACAGAAGACATATAGTATGTGGCAAAATGTTAAAAGGATCCATAGGCAATTCAGTGTGACATCAATGTGCCCAAAACGAACCAATTACCTAGCCTCAGTAGCAGGCTTATAGAACTGGGGGTTTGGTGGTCTTCGGCTGTTTTCTGATTAGCCCAATTCAGTGTGACATCAATGTGCCCAAAACGAACCAATTACCTAGCCTCAGTAGCAGGCTTATAGAACTGGGGGTTTGGTGGTCTTCGGCTGTTTTCTGATTAGCCCAGTTCTAAAAAAAACGGGGGTAATTCAACTAGGCCGGCTATGATGTCTTTATGCAATCAGAAAACTATAGCACATAAAAGATCTCAAAGACCCTGAAGACCCCCCAAACCCCCCCAGTTTTTGGCATGCTATGGAGGCTACCAATGTTTTACCTTTCGCGAAGATAACTGCCTCCTGAACCCTGTCATCAAAAGTTGTACGACAGGAATTACACATAATGTTAAAGAAACAGGTGTTCGGACAAAGGTTAAGAGGGAGGGGGGCACATTTGAATCAGAGTTCCCAAGGCATTGAAATGACAAAATCCTGGACTAATCTATTTTATGGAATATTAAGAAAATTCAACTGCTACATTGTCACATATCGATGCTGTTGTAGCAAAAACTTATACTACAGAGTATTGACACTTCGTCCGTATTTTATTGTACACCATCTGCTCACAAAATTAGTTGTATGCAAAACCAGGTCTAGAAATAATTACCTTCGCCAAGAAGGTTATGTTTTCAGGGGCGTTCGTGTATGTGTGTGTGTGTGTGTGTGTGTGTGTGTGTGTGTGTCTGTACAACACGATAACTTGAGAAGGTCTTGATGGATTGTCTTGATACTTGGTAGGTGGGTAGGTCTTGATGAGACCTCAAAATGATTAGATTTTGGGCCACCTGGCGGCTTGTCATGGTACTGCAGCAGAACTTCCGGTTTTGATATCTCATGATCCAGA